AAGTAATAATCTTTTTTATCTGGTTTTGTAAAGGGTATGATCATTTTAAGCCTAATCTCATTGTAATTCAATAAGATTTAGGCTACATACAAGCATTAAAAGAACTAAATTTTTGACCAGGTTTCTTAAAAAAAGACCCGGTTTCTACAACATTTTTAAAACTGCCATTTGTTTTTTATATTAAGATGGCAAATCTTTCAGGGGAAAGGGGCTTTTTATTTTTATTTACTTTTTTTGGTATAAACAAATTATTAACAAATAATAACTTTATATTAAATGAGATTATAGTTGTTGGGAGGGTTTAGGCAGGGGTTGAGGATATGCCCCCCCTCCCACACACACACACTACTTCCATATTTTTTTAATGTAAAAGAACAGAGTTGCGATCCCTGAACTATGTGTTTATTTGTGTTTTGTTCAAGTTAAAAAATGACATTTATATAACAGTATGTAAAAAATATTGTTAATATTATTAACTTATATTATTTAAAACAAAATGGGAAAAGATATCAGATCAAAATATAAGTTTTTTTTATAAATGATTTTAATTAAGTCTCTAACATAGAAAATATTCTGTCAACTGTCTTATAGAGAACGAGTTCTGCAATATGTATTTTGTATACAATTTAAAAATAAAATAATAAAATTTGCATTATAGTTATATAGTTACAGCAGAATAACGTTAACTCGGATCCTGAATAAGTCAGAATTTTACTGAGCCGGATAGATTTTCAACTCCGCTAGAACTTTCTATATATTCAAAGAGCTTTGCTTAAGTAGGACATTCGTTAAGTCAGACTATTTATCAATTCCCCTTGAGAATCCGACTTAACGGAACTCTACTGTATATGTAAATTTCTTCTATGCCAGTTTTAAATTTATAACTTAGAGGGTGTTATTTTTTTAATTGCATTGTTTCTTCACTAATGAAAATCTGGAAAAGAAGTTTCCAAATATTGCTGGGCATTATACTAGGTAAATTATACTGCGTATAACTCAAGGAGCTTTAACAATAGTTTATTAAATCTCTTCGGTATAATCACTTACATAAATTTCTTTAAAAAAATGCATATAATAAGAATTGTATTACTTTATTCTAAGACTTTTGTTGAGATGTACCATGATGTTTTCTAGTTAAAGATGATGCCATCAAAACATGAATTACATAACACACCACCCAATTATATGCAGTTTAATTAATATATTTATCCACTACTACTAAGATTGAACTTCTTTTCTTTAGTTTTTTCAGTATAGAAATAACACCAACGTGTTTAAGAAAGTTACACCCTCCAAGGTTACATTTACAATAGGTAAATTTGCATGAAACTATATACAGTGGCAAATTTCTGGGGCCTGCGGTTATTTATTTTGGAGATTTTTTTATGTGCTACACCATAAAAATGACTTACAAAAAAGTATACAATGAGTATACAATGTAAATATTGCAGAATGGGTTTTCAATGGATTTTTAAAGCAATTTACTAAATTCTAAATACGCGCATTGTTTTTTGAATTTTTGTTTATTTTAGTAAAATTAGATGTGAAAAAAGCAATACAACTGATTTTCGGAAGAAATATTATATTAAACTGTTATGTTTTTGCCTAAAACTAAATAAAAGCGAGTGGCTAAATCATTTTTTTGTTTATATATAATATTAAACATTATCTTTTATTTTGAAAATTTAGAAAAGACGTAGGGGAGAACAAGTTCCTCTCCCCTCCCCTAACCTCTGACCCCCTTCCTGCCCAACCCTTTCCTCATTACTGAGATCCCATTTGTTATAATTTTTTTTGTATAAAAAAACTAGTTACAAATAAATAGTTTTCCTAAAGGTTAGCAATCTTAATCAAATAAACAAACCGGTGTCGGTTAGTTTGCTGCAGCAAATCGCGGAAAATGTTGTAAAACCCGGTCAAATTATAAAGAAATATTAGGGTGTGTCAAAAAAAAGTCATGTCTGAAAAAAAAAAAGAGCCCTAGCTTATCATCTGCCCAGACCATGATTTAGTACTAAGGATTTTTTTTTTTTTTCGAAAATCCTAAGGGTCCCTCCAGGGGGTAAAAGGGGCAAGTTTTATAGCGTTTTGTACCATTTTAAAAACAGTTTGGAGGAAGTGTTAAAATTTAAATTTTAAAATTTTTTTTATATTTCTGTTTCAAAAGACCTATTTAATCTAAATAAAACGGGCTCTATTCTTTAAAAAAAAAAAAAAATTAAAAATTGTTTTGAAAAACCTTAAATTTAGGGTTTTTTGGATTTTATAAAACCCATAAACATTAAAAAAAAAATCTTGAGTAGGTTTTATTTTGGATTAGGTTTTTATGCAAAACTATATTAAATTCAATTGTATTCAGCTGAAGGGTTTTTTATAGGAAATATAAAAAAGAGAGGGCCAAGATTGGGAATGAAATAAAATGCAATGAAATAGTCAAAACCAAAAAAACAAAAACAATTTTTTTTTCTTAAACTAAAAAAAAATTAAAAACTTATAAAATTACAAGAAACTTTAAACCAAAAGTAAAATTTGTTTAAAATTGAAACCCCAGTAAATAAATGATCATCTCTATATAAGTTATCTAATTAAAACAAAGATTTTTAAAATTTTTTAATAAAAACAACAACTAGATTTTCTTTCTGCTAGCGGCCTTTTTGTAATCAATTTTTTTTTTACTTTTTCTGTTTTTCTTGTATTTATTTGTAAAGAGAAGGGTGTCCTGCCTTTTCTTCTCGGAACATGCTATATTTATTAGGTCTTGAACTAATTTAACTGCCCTCTCAGAGCAGTCATTAACAACATCAAGTCCTATGACTGTTGCTCTAAATTCTAGATAAAATCATTGAGTTTCCAGAACTCTGGAGGTGTCTTGATCCATTGAGTTTTTGCCTTTCCATGTCTAAGCATGTCAAAAATTAGCCACAACTTGTCTGTTATTAATGGAGCTAAACTGGGAGGCTTTACTGAAGTTAAGACTTTTCAATACAGATTGGTCCAATATTTGGCACTCCAAAGGGAAATTTTCATTTGGACATCTTGGTAAACTATACAGTTTCTTGGCCATATCCACTGCATTCCATACATTTTTCATTAGATAGGGCAAAAACTACCAAAGTGGGATCTAGATACCAAGTATGTCTGAGAATAGAGCTTGCAACAGCTTGAGAGCCAAGTAGATTCCATTCTACAAACTTTTTCATTTGCCAGTAAGCTTTCATATCCTAGTAAATAATATTAATAAATATTTTGAATCATTTTAATCAATAACAAGCTTCCCAACTTCTCAATAAAATACTAAAAGACCAGAAATCTTCCAGAAATGAGTTATGTGACGCTCAATTACATGATGTCTACATGCAATCAGCACAATGGGCGTTGAATTTGACGAACTAATCTCATGCAAGTACCTTGCCAAACTCCTGTATTTGCTGAAGTTGTGTCGAAGCAGAGACATTGAACTCAAAATATACTTGAATTAGAAGTATATTTTTAGGAAGAAGAACAGAATTTTGAATATTAGGAATCTCATTAATATCAAAGTCGATATCTGTTTCTTGGCCTAAATTTTCGCTAGTGCAACTAGAAGAACTTAGATAATCTAAATCATTTGTATCTAACTCTGCTAATAGCTTTTTTTCTAAATTTAATTTGCTTCTTTTATTTCTTTCAACAGAATACTCGTATCTTTTATCTCTATCTCCAAGACATCCTTTCCTTTCCCCAAGTTGGTCTTTTAAAAAAGCAATATCTTCTTCCTTGTCTTTCACTCTTCTCATTTTATCTTTTAGTATTTCCCCAAACATTACATGAGGATGTTCTCCAATCCAAAATACTTAATTCATTTGTTCTTTAAATAAGTGTCTCTTTTTTACTTCAGCAAGATTTGTTCTGTTTCTTTTATCTTTTAATTTCACCCACTCCTTTAACAACTCCTCAACTTTAGTTCTTTATAAAAAATATTTTTAAAGAATTAAAAGTTGAGACAGTATAAAGGTTTAAAGATTAAACTGATTTAGAATGCAATAATAAAAGTTACCTTAGCTTTTGTGTTGTAAGCACTTTAAATCCACCAAGTATCCAAGGATCCATCAGTTTAAATAGAATGCAGCAGTCAGACTGATTAACTGGGCAGTTAGGTATAAAAGAAGAACTTTTGTTAGGACAACCTACTAAGCACTTTACTTTTGCTTCACTTTTTGATTTTCGTAGAAAGAGATAATATTGAATTACCTCTTTAGCAGTGGCTAATTTCTTTGCTGGAAGTTTGAAGATTAAATTTTTAACTAAAAATATTTCATCCAATTTATTACTTATAAATTTTTTTTTCGTTGGCATTTTATTAGTTTTTTTACTACTTAATCTAAAAAAAAAAATTTTATATAAAATATATTTCAATAAAACATATTCTTTACTGAAAAGATTTAGAACTTTATTTAAGAAAAACCTAAATAAGTGCAGCGTAAAAGTATTTGTTTTTATAAAATATTTATTGATTTTGAGTTTTTTCAAAACAATTTCTAATTTTTTTTTTTTTTTAAAGAATAGAGCCTGTTTTATTAAGATGAGTAGAGGCTGTTTTATTTATATCCGGTAGTGGTGTAGTGGTAAGAGCGCTAGCTTTGTAAGTGAGCGGTTCGGAGTTCGACTCCCACCACATCCCTAGAAGTACCACGCTCAACTTAATTTCTCCGCGCAGCGGTCTTGCTTGTCAAGGTTCGTGTTTCGGAGTTAAAGAGTTGAGAGAGGGTTGTACCACAATTTACAAAAAAAAAAAAAAAAATTGAGTAGCGTCCTCAACTGTAGTGGCCCCCTGGAGGGACCCTTAGGATTTATATATATATATATATATATATATATATATATATATATATATATATATATATATATATATATATATATATATATATATATATATATATATATATATATATATATAAAATTTATTTTTAACTGAATAAAAATTTTATTGAGCAAAAACAAAATTTGAAAATAATTTTTACCAGATTTATTTGTACCATTTATGTTAACACCTAAACAAAAAATAAGAGATATATAAGTATTCAGTTTATAATTAAACATAATTAATAGATTTTTATTTATAAGTTCTTGTTAAAATAGAATTTCAGTAGTTGAAAAATTTTTGTTGACAAAATTGATTTAAGATAATAAAAAAAACTCATGCAGTATTATGAAATATAAATGTATATTTAATTGTGATACATTGGTACAAGATTTATTTATTATTTATCTTAAAATGGGTTAAGGCTCTCTAATTAATATCAAGAAACTTGAATATTTTATGATACATTCAATAATATATTTTCAGTAATGAAATCCTGAAAAAATAAAGCGCAAATAAAAACTTGCTATTAAACAATATTTTTAAAGAAAATAAACACTTTTATACGCACAATGTCCATTATTTAAAAAACATTTACTTTATTTAATCATTATTTTAAGATATTTACATGTATTGCATGTTGATTGACAAAATTGATTAATAACAAAGTCTGTACAATCGAAGCATGCTTCACTAGGTGCATTGTCTTTGCAAGCTAAAAAAACAAGTTCAAAATTTATTTTACAACACACACATACATACACTACCTGGAAAAAATTTCCGCTCACCTAAAATTTTGATAGTTCCTTACTTATAATAATTGATCATTTTTAGAATTGTTTTTAAATAAAATAATTCAATTAAAGTATACTAATAAGATTTAAAAATTAACAATCAATTTTTAATATGTACGTAAATATGTAATTAAACAAATGAAATTAAGTTGTTAAGATTTTGAGCCTTTTTTGAAAATGTGCCAACCCTCAATAATTTTTTGTTTTTGTTATTTTTGTTGTTATTCTTTATTACTTTTTAAACATTTCGTTACTAGCCTCGCACCCCCTTCTTAATCTACTAGGCTAGCGCAGATATATTTTTAATACATTGTTTCCAGTTTAGGATGTTGAATGCTGGATCTTCTTGACTCGATGCATGGGTTTTGCTTGTGTCTCTGCTTCTATGACTAGGCAACTCATTCTATTATCTCTTAATGACGGTACAGCTTTAAAACTCAGTTTTATGGTTTTGAGACCGGCTGGTAGTCAGGTTTCCCAAACTCTGTGGTAGCTCTTAAAGAGGCTGATTCCATCAACGGCTAAAAAATATCAAAGTATTTACAGTGCCATGTTGTGCATGGATGGTGTCCCTGTTTGTACTTTTGGTGTGCATTTGTGCATTGCCAAGGCCACATTAGAGCTCTTTGTTATGGCTCAGGGTTTATTAATAGTAATGACGCAATTACTTGGGCTAATAAACAGTGTACTGAGTACTATCTATGTTTTGAGTCAAGTTCTTTAAAAAATTTGAACATGAATAAAGTAAAAACTATAAAACACAAAAAACCATTGTCATTACCAAGTTCTCTAAACATATCATTCACTAATATTTGTGGTCTTCGAAGTAACTTTTTTTCTGTTGAGTCTTATTTCTTGCAAAGTTTACCAGACCTACTGCTCTTTATGAGACTAATTTGAGTTTAGCTGTATCTTGTGATCTTAGTGTTGATGAATATCTTCCTTTAATTCATAAAGACTCCAATAGTCATATGCTTGGCCTGGGCATTTACATTTGTAAGAATTCACTGATTTGTTGGGAAACTAGGTTTGAATCCACAGACTACTCTTTTATGTGTTTTCATTTAGCACCCCTTTACTCTATCACCTTTCTCTTTGTTCTATAGCTCTCTTTCATTTCAAGACTGCACTCTTCTTGATGTTATTTCTGATCATATTGATCAAGCCCTCTCTCTTTATCCATTAGCCAATATTGTTGTTGTTGGTGACTTTAATGTTCATCACACTGAAGGCTTGGCTCTAGTGTCTGTGACTCTGTAGGCATTAAAGCCAACAATTTTTGCCTTTCTCAATCCCTAACTCAAATAGTCAACTTTCCAACTCGCTTTCTAGACAACCCAAATTATTTACCTTCTCTACTCGACCTACGTCTTGTTTCCGACCCTAGTCAGTGCTCAGTTTCTCTACATTCACTTTTAGGTGCCTCTGATCACAGTTTGATCTCTCTAAAACTATTATCTCATTCTTCTTTATCATCAGAATCCTACTATGATTGCACATCTTACAACTACTTTAAAGCTGATTGGGACTCTTTTCATAATTTTCTTCGTGATGGCTCTTGGGTAGAAATCTTTTGTCTTCCTGTTAACAAATGTGCATCTTACATAACTTCATGGATTCAGGCTGGTATGGAATCCTTTATTCCCTCTCAATGATTCCAGGTCGAGCCTCACTCTTCTCCAAAGTTTTCCTCACATTGTGCTGCTGCAATTTCCAATCAAAACCATTGCTACATTATCTATCAGCAAAACTATTGTCCAGCCTGTTTATTACTGCTAGGAACCATTGTAAAAAGGTTTTGTCTAAGGCCAAAGCCCGCAATTCTCAGGTCATGAAATCTCGTATTTAGTCACAATAATTAGGTTCTCATGGAGAATTCAGGCAAATCTGAAATTTCACTTCTCTTGTATGGTTGAGACTTTATCACCTCACTTAAAGACAAAGCTGAATTATTTGCTAAGAACTTTTCATCGATATCATCTCTTGATTCCACTAGTTGCATTATACCTGCTATAGCTGTCAAACAAGTTAATCCATTGCTTGACATTAGTATCACTCCAGGTTCTGTATCTAAAGTGATTTCCTGCTTAGACTCTTTTACAGCTTGGATCCGGACAACATACTTGTTATAATCTTGCAGAAGTGTTCTCCGAAGCTGTCGTCTATCCTTTCAAAACTATTCAACAAGGGCTTTTCAGAGTCTTGTTTTCCAGCCTGTTGGAAAGCAACATCTGTTATCCCTATTTTTGAAAATTCTGAAGAGCAATCTGAATTGTCTAACTACCACCCCATTAGTCTTTTTCCTATCATAAGGTTTTTGAAACTTTAATTAACAAACACTTAGTCTCTCATCTTGAATATAATAATTTACTTTCTGATCATCAATATAGATTTCGATCTTCTTGTTTTATAGCTGATTTGCTAACAGTAATAACTTAATGGACAGCACTTTTCTTCTTATTCTGTAACCTCAGGTGTTCTTCAATGTTCAATCCTTGACCCTATAATTTTTTTTATTTAAATTAACAATCTTCCAGATATTCTCACATCTTAGGTGGTATTGTTCGCTGATGATACTTCCATTTATTCTTGTCATGATAAAAAGCCAACTCTCTCTGATTGCTTGGAGGCATTTGAGCTTGAAAAGGATCTCACTTCTGCTACAGCATGAGGCTTACAGTGGCTGGTGAACTTTAATTCAGATAAAACTCAATTTTTTACAGCCAATCATTATCTCAATTTAGACCTTCCTATATTTATGAATGGTAATGTACTCGATGAGTCATCTACCCTTCATCTACTACTCTTACTTCCGATCTTTCTTGGAAACCTTATATCAAATCCGTTGCAAAAATAACATCTGCTAAAGTTGCATCTCTTTATCGAGCTCGACGCTTTCTTACTCTGGATTTTATTCTCTATCTCTATAAATCTTAAGTCTGGCCTTGTATGGAACACTTTTGCTATATCTGTGGTTGATCTTCTAAAGATGCCCTTTCTCTTTCAGACAAGGTACAAAAATGCATTGTAAACATAGTTAGACCTGCTCTCGCAGCCAACCTTCAACCATTATTACGTTGTCGTAATGTCGCTTCACTTTCAACATTACGAAAATGTGATACTCGTCAGTCAATTAAGTCTCATCTTTTTTCTGTGACTGTTCCTAAGTGCTCCAATTATTCCTCTAGTTTTTTTTATCGAACATCAGTTCTTTGGAATTTGCCTTCTTTATCTTGTTTTCCTGATTCATATAATTCATGCAATCTTTTAAGTCGACTGTCAATCGTTATCTTGCTCTACAATCTTCATATTTTATCTTCTAGTAACTTCCAACTCTAATTAGTGGTTGCTTGAAGCCTTGTTGGAAGTGAAGATATTTAAAAAAAAATTGTTATATTTGATGTGGGTATTGTATGGTGTTTAAACAAACTGACCAATGAAAGCCCACAAAGAAATATGAAATACTTCTATTGAAAAAAAATTTTTATATAAAGGAGGATGAGTAATAAAAAATTAAGAAAAACAAACAGATGCTCAGAATAAACACAGATTTATTTTTAGTAGAAAATGCTCATACATAAGTCACAATCAACAGTAATTTTATTTTTAAAGAATATCTAAAACAAGCAGAACACATAAGCAACATATACAAAAAAATAACTATAAAGCTTTATTACATCAAAAGGTTATACTTATTATAAAACAAATATATATATATATATATATATATATATATATATATATATATATATATATATTATATATATATATATATATATATATATATACACATATAATAAACAAACACAATATAATATGAAATATGATATAAAGAAAAAACATTATCGCTTTTGTATAAACGTAATTTATGTAATGGTGGTAATAAACTTCTCCTCGGAATCCCGCTTATTATTAGTGGCATTTTAAAGAGGCTCAGCACCAATACCTAGTTTATCCTGTCAGATAAACATTGTTTCTATTTATGCCTCAACCTGCAATTATATATATGCTTGCCCCATGCTGCTGTAAAAAAAGACTTTACTACAATCAGCCACCACCCTAACTTCACCTAAATTTGTAAAGCACAAGTATTTTTGATGAAACAATATGGAGATCAAAATATGTAAATTCAAAAAATATGTTTTTAAACAAAAAATGAAAACATATTTGATACCAAAATTTTAAAAAAAATTTCAATTTTTTTTGTTAATTAAAGCACAATTTGATTAAAATTTTGCTCCAGTAATATAATAAATTGAATTAATAAATTAGTTGAATACACTATATAAAATATATTGAATACATACATTAAATGCGGTAGTGGTGTAGTGGTAGAGCGCTCACTTCATAAGCGTGAGGTTGCGAGTTAAATCCAAAAATAGAGTTGAGAGAGGGTTATATAACCACAAATAAGTAGGCTCCTCATCTGTAGTAGCCTTCTTGGCCTTGAGGAGGTGAATTAACAAAAAAAATAAAAATAAAAATAAGGCATTTCCTTTTCTGTGCTTGATTTTTTTTTTTCTTTATTTTTATAACTAGAAGCTAGATTTGAGGTAGTATATACTATTATGATTACCTTAAAGGAAAAATAATAAAAAAAGATTTTTCATATTACTACCTTGATGATTAAAAATTACATTTTTGTTATTTTATTAGTTTGAAGTATTTATAATGATTCTGTTGTACAGAATCATTATAAATTTTAAAATTTATAATGATTCTGTACAAACTTAAATTTTCAAATACAGACTAATTGTAAAAAAAGAAGCTTGCAGAGAACTTGAAATTTTAATATAGCTCAGACAATTGTGGCTGACACAATTGAGTTACTATAATAAATCAATTGGGTCAGCAACAAAAAATCAATTATGCATTAGAAAGAGGCGCCAAGACAAGGGATGTTTCCATAATGTTTGACATGCTGGTCTTCCCTATAAGTTTACTTCATATGGTGTATCTGTGAAACTTTTAAAGACTATCTTATCTTTTTAACCGCTTTATTAAAATCATCCTTGAAGGCCAATACCCTCAAAACCCTTAAAATCATCCTTGAAGGCCAATACCCTTCTTCATTTCCAGTAACTTCTGGAGAATCTCAAGGTTCTATCCAAGGTCCTAATTTTAGTTTATTAACTTAGTTAATTTTGTTTCTTATTAATGATCTTCCTGAAAATCTTTATATCTAAATTGGCTCTATTTGCTGACGACTCAACTTACTTAACTAGAACAAAAATATTGGTCATTAAAAATAGTTTTTTTATGCTACTACCCTTTTATTTTACTACTTTTTTTCCTTTTGATAATGCAATGTCTAGCAACATATACTTGTCAACTATTTCAATTTTGAACTGTTTATAAATTAATATTGTCTATAAATTAATATTGGCAATTAGATTTGTCTATAAATTAATAATTGATTATAAATTGTCTATAAAATAATATTGGCAAAATTGATTTATTTGTAAGCTTAGTTGTTAAAATCATCAAGTTTATTAACATAACATCACTCAGTAAGCTTGTTAAATGTTAACTGAATCTTTGTTACTATAAAGTTAAAATTTGTATTACTAGTCAAAAGTTAATCTATGTCAAGACTAAGTAATCAGGAAAATCATTAATGAAATCAAAAAAAAATTAAACCTAGAACTGAAACCAAATGTAGAACTGAAACACAAATATTCACTTGTTATTCATTAGATAAAAAAATTTAATTCAATTCATCTTTTACATAAACAGTTGTTTATTAAACTTAAAATATTATGTTTTGAACTAAATAAATTATTGACAAGTTTTAGTTTCAAATGATCCACTTTATTCAAATGATCTACTAAATCAAAAATTTTCAGGAAAAAAAAAAGAGTTTTTTTTAGGGTAGTATATAAAATTTAGAATAATCCAAATAAATATTAAAAAAAAAAACAATTATTAGGTAATATGAGGTAATATGAGGGAGCCATTATTTTGGCAATATAAAAAAGAGAATTTAAAATTATAAAATTTAAATTGCTTTTTTGTTTTTACTAATTGCCCAAAATAAAAAACTAGACATAAAAAAGACAACATTCAAAAATATGAAAACACATCCTAATATTTATTCTTATTTAATATCTGATACAGATAAAGCACATAAAAGTTTAACTAATTCAGTATAAAAACAATTTTAAATATAAAAACAAATTCAAATAAAGTAAAAGTTATATTAGTAAATCTAAAATCAATTTTGTTGAATAGTTATTGTATATTATGAATTAAAAAATAATTTTAACAAAATCTTTTTATTCCTATATTATTTGAAGTAAAAATTATAAAAAGTATAAAAAAGAAAATTATATAAAAAATTTTTTATATCATTTTGAACAATGATTCTTTCAATTGGTACAAAAACTTTTTATTTTTTTTTTCAAAAAAAAAATTAGTATTGTTTTAAAGACAAGTTAGTCATATCACATGACACTAAACATGGAAGTTCAGTGACACATGTCATTTTAAAATATTTTTTGAATAGTAAAAATTTATACTAGTAAGTTGTATATATAAGTTCTTGTAACACAGGCACAGGAAGTACATAGCACTATTAATATTAGTTTTTTAAAATTTTATCTACCAATTTTTAAAGTATTTAGAACTCTGAAAAAAAAAGATTTCTTTTTGTAAAAATCATAATTTAAAAAACAAAAAAGTGTTTTACATAATTGATACCAAAATTTTAAAAAAATTGAAATTTTTTTAAAATTGTGGTATCAAATATGTAACTTTAAAAATTAAAAGGTTTTCTTGATATTTTCTAAAAATAGGTTTCTGAATTATAAATATTATTAGAATATATATACTTCAAATTGATGATATAATTTTTAAAATGAAATTACTGTATTTTAAAAATGTATAAATTTATCCTTGTTCAGCCATTTTGAAATCAATGAGTTATTTTATTTATTTTATTTTAGAGTTAATAAAATCCTTTACTCAATTTAGGGTACAAAAACATTACTTAGGTTGCCAATTTCATGTTTTTTTGTTTGTTTTCAAAATACGATTAAAATTTTTTTAAGAGTTATTAGTTTACTTTGAAGTTATTAGTTTACTTTGATCTAATAACTTTCTTTATTATGTATTGTCATGCTTGATAAGTTACTTTTCAAAAGTTTTAATTAGAAACATTTTTTATATTATTACATTATTATTTACATTGACTTTTAATTATTTTCTTTAACTTTTTTCTTAATAAATTCATTCTCTAAATAAGTTTAATCTCCTTATAAATATGTTTATAAATAATGCATAAACAAAAAAATACTATATCAATTTAAAAAAAAGTTTTTATTTAGTTAAAAAAGATATAGTTTAAAGATTGTTAAGATGCAAATTAAACCACATAAGCTGTAGTCATTAATTCAAACATTAATTTATAATAAATTCAAGATGCCAGATTTTATTGTAGTTAGTAAAGAAATAAATTTTAATTATTTTAAAACATTAATAGTTCTTAAAAATTAACATTGCTGATTTTTAAGAGGACCTTTTATGTTAATTTTTTTTTTTTAATAAAAGAATTTAACTACAATATTTATCTAATTTTAAAAGAGTTACTTTAAACCCGTTAAATACAACTTAATATAATTTTAAAGCTAAAAAATAATTAAAGAAAATGTTTTTTTTGGGGAAAGTTTTTTTCGCACACGCATAACTACATGTATCATATATATCTAAAAACGCAATTTTCTAATATATTTTGTGCTCTTTAATTTTTAATTGTCCACTTTTAATTTCAGAAAACAAAGAAAAAAAGAAGAATAGTGAAAAGATTTATTACTGCACAAACCCAAACCCTCTGTAGATGTAGTAGCACCTCACATGTTCTCCCTAAATCAGTCGAATAATGTACTGAAGCCCCTGCAGCTCCCTATTTTAGTATAGCATCATCAGTGCATATCTAATGCTGCATTCATATTTGTATACGTATTAGGGTGATTTATTGATTATTTATATATGTATATGTATTAGGTGACTTTTTTACAATCTTGTTTCCTTGTATCATAACATTTGATAAGCTTTCATTAAAGTTTAGATGAAATCTCACTTTCAAGGTGATTTGATAAAAAAATGTCTCACACAAAATGATTTAAAAATTTTTATTTATTAGCTTTTTTGCCTATTTTTTCAAGGTTCTCTTTTGTAGCTGCTTAAAGCTACAAAATTGAACACAACATAACTTGTTTCTTTCTAGTTTTGTTTAAGATTTGTTTTTTAAAACTCTAGGGTTGAAAGCCCAATCAGCTTTAGAGAAAGAGAACACAATAAAAATTTATAAAGATTTCTTGTTTTTATTTGCGAATTTACTTCCCAAAGCATAGGGGCCCCTATAGTTAAAAAGACTACTTGTTTTTTCACAATGTCATTTTTTCAAAATGTTGTACAACATCCCTTTCCTAAACTTGAAAATCTAAACTCTAAACACTTGATAAACAAAGCAGAGAGACAAACACAATACTACCACTACACCAATATCACATTATGTAAACAAATTAAAAAACTAACCACTTTAATTTATTTATGTTAAAAAATGAACTTCTGAGTTTTAAAGCATTTTTGAATTAATATTGATCAAGATAGATCATGGCTGAATATATCTTACAAACAGGTTGGTAAAGATGAGGTAATTTTGTAAGACCAATGTACAAACATAAAGCATATTCTTTTAAAATAACTTCCCAGTTCCCACAACAAAACCTACCCAGTAAGAACCTGACTTTAATAAGCCTTAATTTACTATGGATTCATATCTCACATAAAATCTGTTTACTTTTAATTATAAGTTTTGAAAGTTAAATGTAATTTAAAAATAAGACAAGCTTAAGGGAATTTAATCTTTTTCTTCAAACAAAATATCAATCATTGTTTAAAAATATACTCTTAAAATATAAAATAAAAATATTGTAAATGTATATAACAACAAACGTGAAGTACCTTCATATACTAAACCTCCGAACACACAGCTTAAAAAACAAACCAAAAAAATGATAAATGATTTCTAAAAAAAAAATTGAAAAAACATTAATTTCTTTAATGTTAATATATTACATAATTAACTAATGATGAAATTATAGCATTTTTTACAAAAACATTTAAAAAAAACAACCTAAAATCAAAAATAAATTTAAAAAAATATCAAAATTACTTAAAAAATATAATAAAAATTATAAAAATCAACAACAACAAAAAAAAATTTTTTAATATTTAGGGAAAAAGTTGGCAATTACATGATTTTTCATTTAAAATTAGACATATAAACTCCATGCAATAAATTAAACAATTATTCTTATTTCAATTTTAAAAATATGAGTTAATAAGTAAACAAATAAAGAGATAAGTAAAATTATTAATTAAATAAAAATAACTATTAATTAAAAAATTAATAAAAAATATTAATAAAACTAGATAATTAAAACTTAACTTAGCTCAGGTGTACTTGCCTGTCGCTTAAAGCACAGATAAGACATACATTGTCTTACTATAGTTAATTACAACCAATATGACACCATATCATACACTCTTGTTCTATATAAGTACACCATTGGATGCACTCTTTTTATATAATAACTCTTTTTATATAAGCACTAGTTTTATATAAGCAAACACAAAATTTAAAATACACTCAATAATGCTTATGCAAAAAAAAAAAAAAAAAATAATTAAAAAAAAGGTAAAAAAAAAAAAACTAACAATATTCTTATTTCACAAGTAAAGAGAATTACAATATGCTTATTTAAATGTACAGAGACTTTCAAATTCCAATTTATTAGAATTCAAATGTCCAATTTATTAGGTAATAGAATATAAGAAATAAAATTTTAATGTTGTGTGTTTGTTGCTTTTAAATGTGGCTAAATGTCAATGTGAGGAAATAAATAAAAGATAACAATTTACAAAAGATATAAACTTTATCAATAAAATCTAAGATATTAAATTTACATTTGTTCCCTCAAAATTTCATTCTAAAAAATTTTATTTTTATTTTTAATTTAATTGAGAGCATCATCCACATCCAATTAAAAATCACTGTAAATTCTAGTGAGTTGGTCACTAGCAAAATTGATTTTGGATGGTAACACATTTTAAGTATTAAGACCTTTCAGTTATAAATTAGGAAATTTTTTGAACCATTAAAAGTGATCAAGCATTCAGTCATCATCCATTTCTGTCTTTCCTTATTATATATTACTATTAGAACAGTTTTCCATGCGTTCCTTGTTTAATGTGTAATAAAAATTTGTTGCTCTTTGAAACATCAGACTAGTTGATACAGGTTGTCAACTGATTGTCAATGCTCAGTGGCACTGAATCCAATCATAAGATCCATGCATTATTAGTCAAACCTCTGGCAATGTACTTGTAAGTTTTCCAACAAAATACAATAAAGAGACAGTTAATCAACATTAGGCCTCTGATCAACATTAATTCTCTGTGCTGGTTAGATTTTCAATAGAAAACTTTGTTTTTTCAAGTCATCTAGAAATCTGACTTTGTGTTACATCAAACAACTATGCAATACTTTCTTGATTTGCCTCATTATCATTTGCCTTAGTTGCTTCAGCTTTAATGACAGCTATTTACTGAGAGTGCTTCTAAAAAGAGTTTTTCTGATTTTTGTGGGTTTTTAAATTTAGCTGGTTTTTTAAATTTAGCAGCAGTTCCTTCAGAAATTTTGTTTTTTCTGTTGCCATACTTTGTTTTTCTGCTGCCATACATGCAGCTAGTAAATGACCAGGGCTAGTATTTGACCTGGGCCAAAGCCGGGTTTTGGCAGGGGCTTGGTGCATATTGATATGATATATAAAAACAAGTCAAAATGCACAAGTGTTTATGCAGTCCTGTCCAGAGAACTGGCCTTGGCTACAACAAAAAATACCAGCCCCGGTTGTTTAATACTTGCAGCCTGCATTGTTAAGTTAAATTCATGGTGATTTTCATGAGATAACTCTGGTAATTCCGCTCTTTGTGATCTTTCTGATTTTTCATCATAAGATGACCTTTGGTTGACCTGCAGATGTAGAAAGTTGATTGTCATCAAAAGTAAATATGAGTACTTTTTTGAGCCATTCACAATTTTCGTTTTTCAGAATAATTTTTATTTCTTTTACCTTGCGCTCATTTTTTTGAAATGTACTGCACAAAATGCGAATTTGGTGTTTCACTTTACTTTTTTGTATATTTTTTTTAGAAACCTTGTTTATATGATTACACAGATTTATAAACTTTCTCTTTTAACTTGTTTTTCTAACCAAATGTTAGATAAACTGTGGATTATGAACCAGTTCATATTTGGAAAAAAAAAATTCATATTGTTTAAGGTAGCAGCAAAATTTGTGGAGTTTCTCTAATAGTATCCAAGTATAACAACACAAAAATCAAAACTCAATCGCGCCCTCAATTTTTTAAAAGTCTAATTAAAATTTGATAATTTTAATTTTTTTGAAAAAAAATTCGTCTTTTTGGATGAAATTATTTTTCTGCGGGTAAATAATTTTTTTGATTGAAATATGTATTTTCTAAAAGTACTTACCTAAGAGAAATAATGCACTTTACACAACACAAAAATAGTTATTCATGTGGGACTGAGATCCTCATGAATTTATTTGTCACTCTATGAGCAATTATTTTTAAATAAACTTAAATAAACACATTTTAACTTCAAACACTTGTTATAAAAAAAAGAAATGTCTAAAAGATAAATAAATACTCATTACCTATGGTTTGAAGTGTTTACTTTTAGGTCTAGTACATAAAGAATTGATAATTGAAACTTGATAAAATAACTTTTTGCCAAAAAATGGTCCATAGAAAATATTTTGGTGAGAAGTAAAAAATACACTTGCTTGTAATTAAAAGAAATTGATTTTTAATTTAAAATTCATTAAAAAATAATTTTTTTTAACATTTATACAAACTTTGTGTGTAGACCTTTATATATGTATTATGTATAAAAAACATTTTTCACTATTAAGTTTTTGCAAATGAATAAATTTATTACAGTAATTTGAGATTTTTTTAATATTGTTAATTAAATGCACTCATAACTTTATTTACAAACACAACTTTGAAGCACTCTGCTTTTTCTCACTTAAAATTTAACAAACATCTTTGCACATTATGTGCGTAAATCTAAAATTAAAAAGCTAGCTATTGTTAGCTCTTAAATAAATTAAAACAAACTCTAATAGCAATAGGATTGATGTTTTCTCCCTTTTTTGTTTCCTCTGTGTGTTTTCTTTTTGGTAAAAATGCTGCCGATGCACTGGAAGCATTAATAGATAAAGCATTAATAAATAAATTTAAAAAAAGCAATAAACACTTCAGTGTAAGCTGCTTTTTCTTTCTTTATTATTATTATTATTATTATTATTATTATTATTATTATTATTATTATTATTATTATTATTTTTTTTTTAAAATTACTTTTATTTTATTACTGTGACTCACTGTCATTATAATAATGTAAAGTCTCAAAGATATGCTAATCAGATGCTGATGATTTAAAACAAATTGTTAAAAAAAAGGCTTGAAATTTAAAGCCTTAAAGTACCTTTAATAAGTGTTGTAGTATTGTTAGGTGCAAAATAAATCTATAATCATCTAAACACGTGCTTTTATTGTTGTTGTTTCAAGTTTTTTTGCTGTTGTTGTTTTAAAGCGCGAAACGCGATGGATTTTTCGCAAAAGTTAAGTTGATGCCCAAACTGATTTGGGCAGTTGATGCCCAAACTGATGACTGAGTGTAATATAGAGACTGTAATATAGTCCGAAAAATAAGATCTAGTGGTGGAATTCAAGAAGCGAACTTATTTAAGCAGGGACAATTTAACCAGAGGTTTATTTAAACAGGGAGTTTTTAAATGAGGGAGGGGGGAGGGGATCAAATCGTATAAAACTCCCTACAGAAAAAAAAGAGGACCGAAATATCTCTCGACTGAAATGTGTCAAATGCCAACAAGTCGACTATATATTTTTTAAAAAAAACCTACACCACCCCGTAAAGTTGCCAATAGGCCTACCATATGTGCATGCAGTTGTCCAGCAAAGAAAGCACAACGGGGCAGTCGCATTTTTTTCGAGGAGGGGGGGACAAATTTTTAAAATTTATAAATTTCTTTTCCATTTTGCGTGCAAAATTATTTATCTTTGTATCATAACACACAGTTCTTGAGACATTTTTAAAACCATTTAACTGGTTACTGTACAGGAAATAAAGGAAGGATAACATAATCTAAACTCAAAAAGACTTACACAAGAAGAAACTAGAACTCCATATGAAACAACAATAAAAAAAAAAGAAAAAGATCAAGCTGAATGTGAAGTTAAGAATTACCCGGGGAAACGGTCAAGATTGTAAGATTTTATAGATTATATTTCCTATTTGATTTTTAGAATATGACCAGCTGCGTGGTCATATCTTAAGTATCATATAGAAAAAAACTATACATTTAAAACATCAATTTGTCACTATTTTTGTAAAGTTTAATAAAATTTTGAGAAAAAAGTCCAAAAAAGGTTATTGAGCAGATTTTATGTTACATTAAAAAACCAATTGTAAGTTCTGAAATCCTATATAGGATTTCAGAACGTACTATTATATTTAAGGTAAATTTGTCTCAGTATTTGTCCCTTTAGTGTCAACAAAACCAACATATGTTGGTTTCGTTAACACTAAAGGGACAAATACTGAGACAAATTTACCTTAAATATATTTTCTTTGTATTCAAATTTAATTCAATATTCGTCTCCTTAACATTGTTAATAGAATACGAACTATTGAAGACACAAACCAATCCAATTTTCGGCAAAAAAGATTGTGGAAATTAGACGTCAAAAAAAATTACATTTTTAAAACTCCAGATTTCTTTTAAAGAATAATCATTGCTAATATCATATTGAAGTCTATTTTTAAACAGTAAAGTATCTGAAGCTATTTAAAATTTCTGCTTTAAGCAGCCTTAATAAAACCATTATTTGTATTAGGATTGCTCAAATCGAATGATACTCCGAGCCAATTGACTAATTTTTTATCATTGAATTCAAATATGCATACTTTTAAGCTAGTTCACTTTAGACCTTCTCCGTCATGTTGCTTTTTTAAACGACAACTAGTCGTTTATTTTTGTCGTATTTTTGAGAGTTAACGTGAACTAATAAGAGATCTTTAAAAATTTTTTGAAAAGTTTTTTTCTCAAAAACCAGCCTTATAGTTATAATTTTTGGTAAATTCAACAGTGATTTTTGAAATAAACAATGATTTTTTTTTATTATTATTTACAGTAAAATATATCGTGTTAATATACAAGAGAACATGGACATATGTTAATATACAAGGACATATGTACTGCTTTATCACCAAGTCCTGTTTACATTTTCATTCTACCAGTAAATATATAGTAATAAAAAATAATAAAGTGTATAACAAAAATTCGATTTAAGAAAATGTAGTTAAAAGGGTTTGAACACACGTGCTGAAAAATAATGAAAAATATTAAAGATTAACAACAACATAAAAGTATATAATCTCTTCAACAGTTTTGCCACAAAATAAAATTGAGAATAGTATTAAAACTTTTTTTACTTTATTTACATTTATTTAATCATTTTAAATTAGTCAAACCCCAAATAGATTTAAAGGACTAAGGTTTAACTTAAAAAGACGATATATTTTCGAATAATAGCTCGGGAAAGAATCTCCAAACTTTCTCTTTTTAATACAAAAGAAAAAAATTGGTTTCTGCGTGCACGAAATAAATTTTTGAGTTTTTTTTTAGAATTCTATTTTTTTATGTACCTTACGGTTAACAATATCTAATGCTTTTCACAGAATAATAAAAATAAATTTTAAAATACTCATTATTATATGCATCTGATATATGATTATTCAGTTCAATAACTGCATGAACACTAAATTATTTTTTTAAAGCCGCATTGCTTATTGTATAATATGGTTTTAAAAAGTGACCAGTATACATTGGTCAATATTAAATAACTTTAGAGTAAAACGAAAATAAGTCTGTAATTTAAATAAAAAATTCTGTCACAATATTTAAAAGTTAGAATAATTTGGGCATTTTTTATATTTTCTGGCTCGACACCTGATTTAAATAAAAGTTTTAAAATATATAATAATGCCAATGATTTGCAAATCTAGTTTAATTACATCACGCTTAAAAATTTTTTAAAAGCATTTTGTATCTTGCTTAAAATAAAATTAGATTCATCCATAATAGTAGTAGTTAATTTGGTAAAAGATTACTACATCTGTCCAACAACATCTGTGGAGTAGTCCAAGATTATCTGTACATTTTTGTCTAAGATCATCTTTATTTTTCTACCTACCTTCTGAAAATTCAACGACCCCATATAACATCTTTAGAAAGATGAAACTACATATAGTAATCGAGTTTTTCAGACCCTATAGAATTTATTATTGAAAAAGTTACTAATCTAACTATTTTAACATGAATAAAAAAAATTGTTCATTATCTTTGTTTACGATTACAAAGTTATTGGTATTAAAAAAATACTTCACTAGACAATTACTTTTTTTTTTTAACTTTTCAAAGCAATAAAATAAAAACTTTTTGAAACAAACAAAAAAAAAACTTAACTATAACGCTCTTCTGTTGTATTGCGAAAATGGTAAAACAAAGTATTATTTTAGGCCAAAATATTTTATATTCAAAGTTACTTTATTTGTGGGATAGCACTGAATGACTGATTAAACATAATGCTAAACAATAATAAAAAAGACATTTATACAAGAAACAAATCTAATAGTTATAGTTAGAAACAAATCCCTTGTTATTATAATTTATGTTCAATCAAAACGGAAACAAATACAAGTCGTTGATTCTATTTGCAATTTATAGTTGCGCCTATCCCTAAACCACTTTATGTATGTGAACTCTATCGCACCTTCTCGTATTTAAATCAGTCGATTTATGTAGACTTTTATGTATATATAACTTTTATAGCAAAAAAATCTATTACAAGGTGGTACTACCCTACATTTTTTTATTTTCGAAATATGATATTTTTCGTAAAATAATAATTATTTTTCGAAAGTAGCTAAAAAGCAGCATATATATCATTTTTTTACTTATTTGTCAAAAAAAAATTCCAAGTCAGCTAAAAAAAGCAAAAAACATGCAGTCACAAGAACATAAATAACTTGAGTAATATTTGAGATGAAAGTTTTAAATTTTACAAAAACATATCTAAATTGTTGGTGGAGGGCCCCTAGTAGAAAATTTAGTTAAAAATACAGCCCCAAACTAAAATGGCAGATATTAATCTGTAAAAATCATAATAAATGGTCTATGAGGTGTGTAAAATTTTAAATTCTGGTCAAATTAAAAAATATTTTTTAATTATTCTACTACCAGCCTTTCTTCAACATCAAGGAACAAGCTGTGAAAAATTTTAAAGAAAAAGAGTAAATAGTTTCTGAGATATCAAAGTTCTAGTTTAAAAATATTTAAAAAATATTATTCTGAGAAAAACAGCTTTTAAAATAAAAATTGTCATAAACTAAAAAATCTTTAATTAAAAAACATTCAAATTCACAAAAATATGAATATTTTACTTTAATATTTTGTTCAGTGTCAAAATAACATTTTTACAATACCAAGGAAAAAGTTGTGAAAAAAGGGCAAACATATAAACAGACATAGTTGCTAAGGATGTTGCTAGGAATTCGAAAATTACCTTGTTGCCTTTGAATACAAGTACTTTATAGTGATTTTTAAAGGGGAAAAAAATTATATTCTTGATCCAGGATGTTGAAACTATTAAAGTTTGAAAAAAAAGTTTTTTTTTTTTTGTTGATGCTTTTAATTGGGTAGTTCCACCTGAGTGAAAAGCTTTGATTTAAAAAAAAATTTAGTAAAAGTTTGTTTTTGTTGAGAAACTTTTTTTACTCGAAACTTTATTTTTATTTTTTAAACATGCTAAAATATATAATTTAGCAAATATAAAATACAAAAAAAAAAAAAAAAAAAAAAAGAATTGAGAAATATTAAGGAAAAAGTGTTACGTGACAGTGAAACGTAAATGCTTCTAGAAAGTGGAGTATTAACATTTAAATATTAACAGTCTTCGAATTACCATTTAACAAAATAACGTTAACAATAATAACAATAAAGAGTTAAATGTTAATATTGAATTGATATGGATAATAAAACCAACATCTTCGAAAAAATTATGCTCAAATCAAAAACAAGGATGTGACAGGTTATAGAGTAGTTAACTGCTTTATGTTGCATGCGATTTGAGCTACTCAAGTTGTTTCAAAAGACTTTTTTTATTCGTTTTGTTAGGCGGTACTCCTTAAATTAGAAACTTGTTTATAGAGATTACTTTTGCACAATGGAAATGTTCATTTACTACATTTGTAAAAGAAACTTAATTTGTTCTGCTGACGGATTAGATTTAAAAAATGGAGCCAATCGCATTTTCTAGCGATTGATTAAAAAACATAAACTAAAAAGCGTTATTTTTTTGGATGACGCAAACAGTAAAACCTTAAATAGCGTCAAAGATACTGCCACCAAGTAACTAATTTGGAAAGTTTTAAGCACTATTAAAAGCGTGTTGAAACCCGATTTCGGTATTGAAATAAAAAATGAGAAGA